CACCCTGGGCAACGTATAATAATACGGCAAAAAAGTCTATCGATGAGCAGTTGACTACTGACTTCAAACTACCCCTACTGTATGCCAAATTCAACTCTTTTCACAGTACTCATCTTACCTTTTCTCTGCTCTTTTGTCTGTCTGTCACATCTGTGAATCATTATTCTGTCCCCCCTCTCGACTTTTTGTCACTTTGATGTTCCTCCTCCTCTCTGTGAAGCCTGAAGTCAGCTAAATGGCTAATGATAACTATCAAAACGCCTGCCGTTTGAAATAAATAAATGTCCTTAATGGCCAATTCTGTTCACGTAGTTTCTGTTAGAAAGCCTTTGGTAGATATCCCCAATCTAGTGCTTAAAGAGAAGTCATAGTAAAATGGCAGTTTAGCTACATCGATTAACGCGTTAGTGTGAATATCTCTTCTAGAAAAGGCAAGCTACATTCCATAAACCAAAACACAACAGCAAAATCCAACTCGTTTTTAAAGCCCACATATTCGAATATTACTGGGCTAAAATAATCTCGGGATCCCAAGCGCAGACGCAAAGGCCGCAATGTTTTAAAAAAAAGCCCAATAAATTCAAAAAATTACTTTATTTACTATCCAAAACATGTAAATCAATCCACACAATCAAGTAGTGCTCCAATTTCTTCAGTCAAAACTCGTTGGTTAGACTTTCCGACTAGGCGATCCTTCAAGAGCTCCACAAGTCTTCGAGCGCGTATTACCTGGTCTTCCAGAGACGGTGCCTCCTTTTCAGGCACCCCTCCAATGATACTCGGTGTAGCCTCATCCTTTAGAAATATTAAAAATAGATAAGAATATAGAAATTATTGATAAAAAAATAATTTGGACTTAATTTTGTTGCGAAAAACCAGATGATAAGAGTAAAAACGGGTTCTAGGGAATGCGAGGATTAAAAACGATCAGAATAAAAGCCATATTTTCAAAAATTAGGAAGGAAGGAAGGCATACCTCGAGACCTGATGGAAAATATTGATTAAAACAGAGGAGTGAAATAGGGCGAATGGAACTGGCATAATTGGAAGATAAGAAAGAAGAATGAGAGCGAGAGAAAGAACTATGCTCGTTTAAAGTTGAAAGTGGAACAGAAATGTATAAGCAAAGCAGAAGTTTTTGTGCGATGTAAAATGTGCTCAAATTCTCAAAGGTATGGCGATATAAGCCTCTTCAAAAATGTGTTAACCAAGAATAAGTTTTCCGGAATAATATAGAGAAGATTGAAAGAATACAGAAAATGGCTCTATTTTCAAAGAACTTCACTCAAAATAACTGACATTAGCGACTATTACGGCCTCACTTAGCCTTACCTCGACATTGGAAACGGAGCAAATTGGATCTAAAATTTCCCTGCCTTAATTCTGTCCATTAACCGGTTAGCATTTTCGTCGACAAGTAGATCACCTCTCTCCACAACCCACAATACACACATAATAACAAACCGGATTAAATCTAGGGTTAGGAGGGGGAAGGGGGTTGCAAGGAAAGGAAGTTTGGAGGTAAATCACAAAAATGAGATATCAACCTGTTTCGACATCATTACTTATCCAGGAGTTAGCAATTCCACAAGCAAAAGCAGAGGAAGGAAACGATTCCATTCACACTACCCTCAGAGGAAGACACACATCCGGAAACCTAGACAGTTTGAGGAGATTTAGTCTGTGTGATTCGAAGAGTGCCTTTTGAGCTCTATGTCACACAGCCCATCTCCTATACTGCGTAGTGGTCTTCATTTTAGCAAAATTTGATCAGATTGCAAAAAAAATCAAATTCTCTATGCCTTAACAGCATGATTGACTTAACTCAGAAATCTCTTCACCTTTGCCAAACGATGATTTGCGTTGGCCTTTTCTGTGAGATTTGACCTTTGTGAGGCCTGAATGAACTTGTAGTAGCTTAGGTCTTCATTGAATGCAAGCTTCATGGTAGGGACTGAAACCTTCAAGTAGGCGTGATAACAAAGCCCGATTTCCGGAGCCAGGATGACCAAACAATCTATCCTGTAGTAGGTTTTTGAAGAAATCTGCTGTGCGCGTGCTATCAAATCAGCTTGTCTGTAGCATTGCATTCTTCAAGCCACAGCAATCCCATAGTCTCCACAGCAATCATCCAATTTATGTCGATTTCGTTTCACGTGCTCAGGGAGCAGTGACCAGCGGCCTTAATCTCCTCATTCTGCTGGTTGGTACAAACTGCCACAAAACACCATCATCCGTTCTCAATGTCATGACAAAATTTTAAAGAAAGTGTAGGGTAGATGAACATCTTGAAGGCATTTGGGAGAAATGCTCTGCAAAAACGAGGATTGGGAAATTGGGAAGGGACAATGTGACAAGACAAAATTCGCAAAGATAAAACTCATTGACACACACTCAGTGACCAGAGCTAAAACGAGAGTTTCGAATAAGAGGACCTGCCAAGCCAACTTTTACTGAGGTCGCCAATAAAGAAATCCAGAATTTCATAACAAAACTTATGTTCAAGTGCTTGCAGTCTGCAGATGTTAAGTTTGAACTAAAATAATTTAAATTGGCTTGTAAGAAATTTAGATGACAAAGTAATAGAATCTGTACTGTAATCAGATCCTCGATTAATTATGGATGAATTTATTGACGAAACTCGTACGTCTATGATGAACTGAGCCATTAACCTTGATGGGCTTCGGTAAACTGAATAGGATGGAAATGTGTTTGCCGCCCCGCCAGAATAGAAAATATGGACGAAAAAAGTAGTTAATTTCTTTCTGCCTTGCAGACAAAGAATTCCTCCATTTCTTTTCAATAAATTCTCACTGGAGGCGAGAAGTGTATAGTTCACGACAAAGTTAATGTAAAGCCAGCATTTTGAACCAAATCAAACACCCATTCCATCTCCTTAAGCGAAATTCCACTCAGAGACCTCTTCCACTCGTTTTGATGGATGCCCGTGGAATAATCAATAACAAATAGCTGAAGCCGAGAGAAAAAGTTACAGCCGAAATTTCTTGAAAAAGGTAGGGCGACTAAAGAGCAGATATTGAAAGATAAGCGCCCGAGTTTAATTAAAGGAAATGGAGAATTCTTCAATACGAAAATATCCGGCCCCACATAGCAAGAGTGGTATTCGAGCTATTGAGGAATAAATAGGGGAGGTTCCGCACCATTCCCCATATTCGTAAACAATGTAATCAAAGTGCACTTGTCACTAACCTCATGCAAGCACACGAGCATTGAAAGCAGATCTTTTGAAGCCATTTTTACTAATTTCCCACCCATCTTTCCATCTAAAAGCCGAATTCTCCCAAGTAGGAGGTAGAAAAGGTCACTGGCGATAGAGGCATCAGCAAAAGCGACAACTTCCGACTCCGCATCTCCATCTTCCCAGGCGGCGTAGAGAGCGAGAACAGTGAGACTGCGTACAAATCCTGAAGGCAGACCCCACGCATTGGCCAATGCCTTGGCTGCGTTGAACAGTCGTACTCGAGTAGTGGGGCGACCGTCTGAATAAGTGGCCGCTGAATAAATGAACCAGCGAATGAATCCGCGACGATGAAGAGAACGATAGGAAGTTGATCCAGACGTGGTTTGGGTCCATGGAGGGGGTTTAAATGGGAAGCTTCCATTCCACTGAAAAGAAAGATCGTGTAAAGTGAATAGTAACATTAATTCATACCTGAGTGTCGATGGTTTTTCCAAGCAATATTTGCCATGCATTCTGGAAAATTCCCACTCCGACCTTTATGACTCCTATCTCATTCTATTCACATTCTAAAGATTCGACCTCATTTCCACTAACAGGGAGAGCCCACTTTCAGACACAAGAACTTATGTCCCATAAGAAGGGGTGGTCAACCCTTGCTGGTTTTCTAAACAATTATTCTTAAGAATACGATAGACTTACCTCCACGTGGTGCACCCTGGACAACGTACTTTCAAATGGCAGGCGTTATGATAGGTATCATGGGGTGTGCAATAGACTTACCTCCGTGGTGCACCCTGGGCAATGTATATTTAGACTTACCTCCACGTGGTGCATCCTGGGCAACGTATACCCATACGCCAAAAAAGTCTATAAACCGGCAGTTGACTTCTCACTTTAAACTACCATTACCCCACGGTATGCGGTAATATTCGACTAATTCCACAGTACTCACCTCACCTTTTTACTTTTTCTACCTTCAACTTTGAAACACTCTTCTGTCCCCCCACCCTCTCGACTTTTTTCACTTTGATGTTCCTTTCCCTCTGAGAAGCCTGTAGTCAACTAAAGGACTAATGATAAACATCAAAACGCCTGCTATTTGATAAAAATAAATTAATAAATGTCCCATAAGAATACTGTTAATTGAAATGAAAGCAAATCGAAATGGCGAAAATAAGGGTATATAAATAATTTCATCTAAAGTGCAAAAAATCTCCGCCTATAATTAGTCCATACAAGATTCAAACCTTAAAGTGCTAAGGGTGGAAAGACGATTAAATCACGCCTGCATATGACAACAACCACATTGTCAGTAGATAGCAAATACAGTAATTGAACGAAATAGGCGGACAAAAAGAGCGTCCACGCATTCGCGTTTATTAAGACGCAACGAGTAAAATGTCTAGCAGTTAAATCTAATTTACCGAATCAGGAAGAAGTTGAACAGGTCTAACTGGAATTTCATCGCTTAAAGGCGGCATACCGAAAGCCAGAATAGCGGTTTGGACGACGAGGAGTTGGAACCAGGAGTCAAGTCGGGAAAATGTTGGTATATCATCAGCATACGATATATTCTGCCTCAGTGGGAAAGTGCTGATTTTCTTGAAATTATTGTGTTCCTTATCATCTGTTTCTCCATCAATCGATTTCTGAGAATGAGCAAAAGAATTTTCCCAGCCTTTATCGCAATACAATGGACTCTCTTCCATTGCCGCCATTGATACCTACTCAAATTAACAAAAGTAGGCTTTAAATTTGTCGAAGTGAACACGAAATAGAGTAAGGACATACATACCCTTCGATACTGACTAACGAATTCGCAGAAATGGAGAGCTTCGTCCAGCAAACAAGGATTCTTAGAAGGCTGGAATTATCAGGGACAAAATAAGTCACATCATAATGGAAACTAATTTAAACAAGTCACGTGTTTTAAGATTAACCATACTTAATAAAACCATCAAACGCCCCAACAAAAAAGTGCATCAGAGTAAATCTTAAGAAAAAAAGGAAGAATTTTAAATTTTATAAATAAGCAATCAGTCCAAAAATTAGAAAGTTCTATGAATTTTGAATATCTTCAGCAAAGATAATCAGTAGGGGCAAATCAAATGAAACTACACAGCTCGAACAACTTATAGGCACCAATGGGTTCAAGGACAGGTAGTAAAGTGGCCTTTAATTGAACTGCAAGATCTAAGTTACTTATTATTTGTAATATTGTTATAGCTAAAAGTGATTGATCTACACATCTCCCAAATCAGTGGTCACATTATAACCAATCACATTAATAAAAAGAGTGTCTGACAACTAGTCTCTCATCATGGAGGTCCCAGAAGCTAACTTCTCTAAATAAGATGAGTCCTATAAAAGGTTTACTATAAGAAAATAGAAGTCAATATGGCTTCCAATCATTAATATACGATGAACTTTAGACCCGATAATATATAAAGTTAAGTAACTTGTTAATTTAGCTGAATTAAAAAGTCCTACTAGCCAAACGCTTTCGAAGTAATTGATGAGAAACTAGCATTTTCTTTTCTACCCCCTATAACATATAAACAAAGCAGAAAACTTTGCAGCAATTTTATTTCTTACATCAATGATAGTAAGATTTAGGCATGGAATGCCACTGTTGTCAGATGACAGTCACAGCCTTCGGTTGATCAATTCAAACTTATTTGTATCAAAGTGCATAAGCATCGGCAAGGCTCCAAGCATGAACCCTAATTCCTTTTCCACTCCACTGTGTTTTTGCAAGGAATTACATTTGTATCACAATCATCTAAACATGCCCCTTGTCTCTCTCTCTCTCTCACTATCTATCTTTTGGTCGTAATGTAGACTGACAGAAGATATAAAGCAAAGCTAGTGGAATAGGTATAGATAGACATTTCACCAAAGGCTAGTCAGTCTAATTTATTGAGAGAAAAGTCAACTACTTCCTCAAGATATTCGATACAAACATTCCAAAGCTACTTATTAACATATTTTGGGGGTAATAGTACCTGAAAGAAATCGAGACATTCTATCGCAGTAAAGTGTGCCTTGAGCATCAAACTCAATGGTCGATTGAAGCATTGACTAGCAACAACAAAAGCGATTCCGTGTCCGGCGTTTGATGTCACACTAAGATAATCAGCAATCCTATTCACCTTCTTGAATCTTTCAGTTTGATCCACTCTTGTCTACCAAAAGAGGAGGAAGCGTTAGTTTTTATACCATACGCCCATCACCAAATTAAAATCTGGTATACAACAAACCCATGGAGAAGCAATCTGACGAACCATCCACCACGCAGCGGCAACTAGGATCCGATTAATTTCAAAGGTGTGCGGTAAACGAAGACACAGCATTTGGAATTCATCTAGAAGAGTGCACAATAACTTAGAAAATTTGGATTGACCAGTAAAATTGGTCGGTGGAATTAGACATCAAATGGATAGTTAGGTGCCGCTTAAAAGTCAAAAGAGAATGGTATTTCAGAATAAATTTAGTCTACAAGAAGACTTTTGAGATAACTTAGAGATCATGCTTACATTATAAACGGCTAATGCTTTTAGAAGAATAGAAATCATCAAAGGTTGATTCAAGTTGTAGTGTACCACTAATTATCCACTTATTACAATAAACACTCACTAGGACAGCTTGTGAATACTGAGAGAGAAACCAAAATTACCTCTCTATGTGCATATAACTTATATAAAATTAAAACTCAATGTGTTTGGTGTAGATAGAGTGACCAAGAGATAAAAGAGATATAAACGTACGTAGCATAAAACAGGAGAGAGATTGCACAAAGAATCAAGGCTATTTGAAGACGTTTCATCCAAAGTGGCTATTAAGACATCACTAGAGGTACTGTTGTGGGACACGTCATCGCATGCCTGCGAGCCTTGTGGGACACGTCATCGCATGCCTGCACGCCAGGACTGGGAGATGCCAGGATTGGGAGGTGCGGCCGTACAACTTTGTGTGCAGTTCGCCAGGATTGGGAGGTGCGCCGTATAACTCTGTGTGCAGCGATCGTACAAACAGTGACCAATCATTAACCTCTTAACCTAAACCGCCATCCTGATCATGATTAAGCTCCCTGTGTGGACACTTTATCCACAATATACTTACTGAATCAACGTGCTTCGTGCTCTACGTCTGTTTCCTCTATAGCTGGGCTATAGCTTAGCTAG